ACATTGGGGAAAGTTGACTGCAGACTGTTTCAAGAGCACCTGCAGCAGTTTTTGAGGAGACTTATCCAGCTCACCTTTTACAAAACATCTGAACTGGATAATTTCATCAGCAAAGTTCAGATCTAAATTTGAATTATAGCGAGCACAGAGTGCATCAGCATGTTTACAACAGTAGGCAAATCCTCAGTGTCCAGGTTTAGTAAAACCCCAAACCTGTTATTAATCAAAGACTCAAAGACTCAAACAGACGAATTGCAGTCATCAGATCCATGTCTGGCTTTTGTAATGCCTCACTTGTTACTTTGAATCTGCTTGATACACAGTGCCAAAACTAAATGACATGTCAAGAGTGCCCAATTTTGAGTTTAGTGCTGCTGCCTCCATGCGTGTTTCACGTTTTTCTCCTGTATCAGAGGACATGTTCTGAAGTACTTCCCTGATTTGTGCATAATTTCCACAAAGGGCTTTAGATGCATCTGCACGGCAACTCCAACGTGTTGATGACAGTAATTTCAATGTCATGTCTACCTTGATGTCTGCATTATTGAAAAATGCGTTCCATCTATGAGTAGAACTTGCACAAAATGCATAAAAAAGACTGCATGAGATCAAAGAACTTGCTTGCATCTTGACAGCAGCCTTCTATACTATTTACCCCCACCAAATTGAGGGAATGTGCTGCGCATGGTATGTAATGGATTAAAGGATTTTTGTTTTTCAAGTGAGCCTGTAGCCCATTATATCGCCCCGACATATTGTTTGCATTGTCATATCCCTGGCCTCTGCAGTTTGCTATATCTAAGTTTAAACTGTCAAGCATAGCCATTACAGTGTCAGCCAGACTCTGCCCTGTGTGACTCTCAATTGGTTCAAAGCCAAGAAATCGTTCAATGATTTTCCCATCTTTGTTCAAAAATCTAAAAATGAACGTCAGCTGATCAGTATGTGACAGGTCAGGAGTAGAGTGCACTATCAGAGAAAAATACTTTGCCTGCTGTATTTCTGCAGCTATAGTAGCTTTCACTTTTTCACCCATTTGCTGAATCAACTCCTCACATATAGTTGATGAAAGATAGGATGTGTTGCCCCTACCAATCTGTCCATATTTATTAATGTGCTCAGCAAGAAAAGGATCAAACTGAGAAATGACTTCCAGAATGCCAAGAAAATTACCATTGTGTGGTGATCCAAGAACTTCATTATCACCACGGAAAGGCAGTCCTCTTTCACTTAAAAATTTAATGACAGCCACAACCCGTTTGAGCACTTTGCACCAATAATGCTTTTCATCCTGTAACTGTTGTACTAGTTTAGCATTTACGGTTCCACTGCCAGATGAGCGCCGAAGTAATGCTAACATGCTATTACAGTGCTCTGTGCTTTTCTCATGCTCACGCACACGTTCGGGATGTTTCCAATCAGAAAAGCCACTTGTAAAGATTTTTTTAGTTGTTGAAAAAAGCATACAAGCAAAACAAAAAATACTACCTGTAGATGGTGAGTATGTGGCTCAGTCTCTAGAAACTGTTTCTCCATTTGGCAGTTTGCAATGAAGCAATTCATTAGTGAGGGAGCGCACTTTCCCTCTCAAACCTCCATCACGGGTTGAGCCTGGATATTTCTTCTGCCTGTTGTGGAAAGCAGGAGACCCACGATCAATCAGGACGGCGCGAGCATCATCATTAACTACCCCCCACAAAGCAGGGTCAGACACATGATGAACCCAGTCTGTGCTGCTGCTGTTACCGCCACTGCAGCTAGCCACAGCCTCTGCCTCATGTTGTGCCGCATTGCCGTTAGCCTCCTGCGTGCGGTTAACGCTAGCTTGATCACCTAACGTCACCATAACGTCTTCTTCACCCTCATTCCCCTCCTCATCATCATCATGGGTACTTTTGAAGAAGGTCTGAATGCATGGCACATGCCTCAATAAAGAGGCCTCCCTCTCCTCCTTTTCTCTTTTTCGCTTGCGTTTGCTAAATCCACTTGTTTCACTCATTTCGATATCCGACACCTACTACACTACAGTCCGCTCACAGCAGCGCGCGTTATTTTTTAGACTTGCATTTCCACGCTTGACCAATTACAGCATTCCATTTAGTTTTGAAAAAAAATAAAGAAAGAAATCAAGAAAAAAAGTCTGCGTGCTTTTAATTGATAATATATGGTGCCTTTTTCTCATGTTTTAAATATGATGATGATGATGATAATCTAATAATAATAATAAGAAGATGAAATTGTAATAATACTATGGTAGCGACTATTTGCTATGAGGAGACAATATATTGTCTAAAGCAGTGGTCACCAAACTTGTTCCTGGAGGGCCAGTGTCCTGGAGATTTTAGCTCCAACCCTAATCAAACACACCTGAACAAGCTAATCAAGGTCTTACTTGGTATACTTGAAACATCCAGGCAGGTGCGTTGAGGCAAGTTGAAGCTAAATCCTGCAGGAACACCGGCCCTCCAGGACCGAGATTGGTGAGCCCTGGTCTAAAGCAATAGATGCTTTTTACAGAGAGGGAGGCATCTTTATTAAGGCATGTGTCATTAGGCTATGTGCCATGAAGTCGGAGAAAGTGGGTGAAGTAGGGCTAGTTGTGGCAGATGATCAGGCTTCAGACCAGGGTTCAGAAGAGGGTGACTAAATACAGATTAATTGTATTAAGATGTCGCTAACATTTAAGACCATGTGGAAAATAACAATAAGCTGTTTTATACTGTAAATTAGCTGCAGATTATTTGCAATAAAATAAACTTTTAGATACTGTTTTTGCACATCTGTAAAAGGCTAAAGGTTAAATACATATTTATTTTAATTAAAAAAAAACATTTCCTTCTTGTTAAATGTATTTCCAATACGATATGTGATGGGGAGAAAAATAAAGGTGAATTCAGCAGACGGTGGATTCGAACCGAGATCGAGTTGATGGCCTCAAAACACAATGATAGGCACTTATGCGCTGCGCCACTGACGATGGTTATTGCTTTGCTCTTTAGTCATATTGTCTCCAGTAGTCGGCCAGCAGATGTGCCAAAACAACATTCTGAAAATAACTTTTTTCCGCCTCAGAAAAAGACTTTTTTTTTTTTGCCTCTTGCACGGGCCCCAAATGCTCACTTGCCCCTGGGCCCGTGCCCATAATGCCCATTGGATAATCCGGCCCTGATCGCAATTTACCGGTTGTAAACGGAAGTTCTAAACATTCTACCGGAAGACGCAGGTCACTATGGCGCCCTCCATGCAGCAGCCTAGAAAAAGGTCTACAATTGTAACGAGTAGGGGTGTGAATGTACTCTGGTCTCACGATTTGGTTTAGTTACAGTTATCATGCCACGACGTTGATATCTTGGTGCATTGACGTAGCTTTCCATACATAGATTTTTTCTTCTCTCGATTTTCGTTTTTTTTTTTTTTTGTCTAATATTTTATTTTAAATGTATGTGCATGTAAACAATATCATGTCATTCACACAAATCAATTATGGGGTTTTCTCTAAAGAAGTTGTTACTCCACCCAGTTTTTCATTATAACTAACGTGGTTCAAGCGATGGATTTGCAACAAAAACTACGGGTTTTGGGGAACACTCGATGCATCGTGCTATCAGAGTTCAGCTGCGAGTTATATCAATGTTTGGGAAACGCACCTCAGGTGCTCTTCGGAAATCTTGCTCAGCATCAGATGCATAGCAGCAAATTTGTCTGTGAGCTATAACTTTAAATGATAAATTGTAATGATAAATGTCTAAAAATAGATATCAAAAATCAAATAATAATTAAATGCCTGGGTGCTGATTCGCAGAGGACTACAGGACTATTATTTTGAAAGCTACGTCAGGAGCTCAGATTTGTTTGACCAGAGAAAATAGGCATTTTTAGAACCACCGACATGTTAATGAATTATAAAGTTATTTATCCATTTCCCTACCCTTAACAACAAAAAACAAAGCAAAAATCTGTTATTTAATTTTTTTTGTGGGCAAATAGGGGGGGATTGGTCAGTTCCTCAGTTATTTTAAATTTAGTTAAAAAAAAAAAAAAAAAAAAAAAAAAAAAAAAAAAAAACACAGACCTAGCCAATATTCTATTATCGTAATTTGGTCTGCAAAAGCAATCGTTATCAAACAGATCCTACAGTAGTTAGAGGAACTCATTTTCCAATGTTTGACAAGTTTAAAATTAGGACAGCAACTGCAGCCTTCGTAAGCTAAATTTGACTGCATTTTACCACAAACATTTGCCCTAGTGGAGGAGTGCTAAACCCTGTTTCAAGAAATCTACCTTCCTGACAATTATTGTTACAAGCCATAATCAAACACACCTACCTATTATGTCAAAAGGAAAAACAAGATTAATTGTTTTAAAGGAAATACTCACTTAATATTGGCTTATTTCAGATAACAGGTTAATGTTTTGTTTGTCTAGAAAAATCTGCTTTAAAATTTAACTGTTAAGATATTTGGAAAGAAAAAATAAATAAAAAGAAAGCAAATGTATTTTGCAGTATATTTGCCCTAGTACAGAGGTGCTCAACCTTGTACCTAGAGAGTTTGTCCTTTCTGCAGATTTCAGTTCCAACCCACATCAAAAATCACACCTGCTTGTAATCATCAAGTACTGTTCAGGTCATCATTAATTGGTTCAGATTTGGTTGAGGGTTTGAGCTTTACTAAGCAGGAAGGTAAATCTCCAGGATCAGGGTTTTAGCATCCCTGCCTGAGTTATATAATATGTATTAATCCGATTTAATACAAAATAAATGAATATATAATAATAATAATAATAATAATCCCACAAATTATTTGCATTAAGCATTTATTAAAAGTGTAATGTCAATGTAGGGGAGACACTGGCAGAAAAATCAGACAAAAACAACATGATCAGCTCCTGCGACCTGCAAGAAAAATTAAGCCAAAAGTTGAGACAAGAGAGAAGCCCATGTAACATTTAAAAGAGCAGAATTTGAAAAACACTTATTTAATGGATTGCGACTTCATCTTACCAGGACAGGACAGACGCAGGATAGAGCCTTCACATGCATTTATAGTTTCTGAGAAATAAAGGGTTGCACTTTAGAGGATTAATGGAGCAAAGAAATAAATGTCAAGCATCACTCGGTTCATGAAACGAAATTTAGGTGTCTTAGAATAACAAACTCTTACTAGAGGACCTCCTGCAGTAGTCATAGTCATGATCGTCATCATGATCATGTCCACCGTAACCATGTCCGTGACCATAATGTCCACCACTCGCTGATATCAGCAGGCTTGAGTTCAGTAAAATCACTGAAAAACAAACACAGAAGAACTGATCAAGACACCCGTTTACTGCTATTCATATTCACATTATAATTAACAGAAAACTTGAACCACAGGGAAACTATTCACAACACAACAGTGCAGCCAAAGGTATATTCACTGAACATCAACTTGTCAAACCCAAAAAGCAACTCACAGGTGAGCACTAAACTGAGAGGAAACCATGATTCTGCTGTCATCTGCCACTGTGCATGTCGTCTTTACTGATTCATATTTATAAGCCTCTGGTGTGAGTGGTAATGAGCGACACCTGTACCACACACCGGTCTGCAGTCCCACAGAGGACAACAGGAGGAGGAGTGACCAGCGGATCCAGATTTTTTATTTTATTTCCATGTCTATAATTGATTTTCTTGTAGCTTCTTTAGCGCTCTCGTCTGCCAACTCATTCCCTGTTATTCCACTATAAGCTGGATCCCAACAGAGTTTAACTTCTAATCCCATCATCTGAAAATGATATAGTGTTTGCAATATCTCGACCAAAATATCCTTTCTGCTTTCAAAATGTCCACTCTCTAATGTCATCAGTGAGGAATTTGAGTCCGAACATACCAGTGCTCCTAACAATCTGTTTTCCTCAACCCATTGAAGTGCCAGTAGTATTGCCTCCATTTCTCCAGTATACACTGAAAGATCATCTGATATTCTTTTAATAACTTTAATTCTAAAATCTATTACTGTGTATGCTACCCCCACTCTATTTCCACTATCTTTAGATGCATCTGTATATATTAAAACATGATTAAAATATTTGTCTTTAATATATGTTTGCACCATTTGAATATTAAAAATTGCTCTCTGCACTCTTATCTCTTCTCTTTACCAGTGATGTATCAACAATGGGTTTTGGTAGTAACCATTCAGCAGTATTTGACCATGGTACTGTTGGACTAATAACCATATCGGGTAGGTGTTTCTCAAAACTGTTTAAATTAAAATATAGTAAAAATGAGATGAAGTTTTGATCAAGCGATTTTTAATAAATAGGTGGCAAAAACAATGGGAAGAAGGAAAAATGGGAGGTGGTTGTTTAATATACAAAGAAATGTGGATAAAGGAAGAATAACAAGTAGATGTAGGAGGGAAGAGAGTATAATATCAAGAATCAGATTTGGACATACATGACTCAACAGTACATTGTACAAAATTAATCAACATCAGACTGGAAATTGTGATTATTGTGGGCAAGAAGAAACCGTGGAGCATGTTATTATGAAGTGTCCAAAGTACAATAGAGAAAGGAAAGTGTTTATTTTAAATTTGAAAAGAATCAATACGTATTTTAATTTGGTTAAAATGCTAAAAAAACAAGTCAGATGAGGACTGTATAGAATTTTTAATACTTTTTTAAAAATTGTCTAGATAAAATCATATAGATATAAGTTATGTAGGTCTTTTTTTGTTATTTCGATTTTTTTGTTTTGTTTTTGTTTTTAACTTTTCTAAAGATGGATAGAAAGTGTGATCATGGCCCACACTCCTAACCAGCAGGTGGCGGTAATGCACCTAAAAGTTGTATGTCAACTGCCAATAAAACTTATAAGAAGAAGAAGAACTTCATCTCTACAACTTGTGTGCATGCCTGCTGGGACGGATTAGCCAATGGGCCTTATGGGCACAGGCCCTGGGGCCCTGTGCGCACTTGGGGCCCCTGCGAGGGGAAAAAAAAAGCCAATTTCGGAGTGTCATTTTAGGCTAATTGCAAATAGCGCACCTAGTTGGAATAAGCTATTCACGATTTACGATCATCGATGCTTGATTGACAGAAACAACATGAGTAAAGAGCGGAGTAGGTCACGTTGTCAGTGGCGTACCTCCAAAAGCACACAGCAACATCTTTTGAAGCGATTGATCAACCCGGTTCGAATCCACCATTGGCTGAACTTGTGCAACTTTTGCTCTCCCCATAACATATCAAATTGGAAAAATTTTTATTTTTAACAGGAAGAAACATTTTGTAAGAAATAATGTAAATGTGATATAAAGTCAAAAGTGCCTCGTGAGTAGGCCACTTAATAAAGTTTAGTCTATTTTACATGTGTTACAGCATCTAAATAGTGATTATATTTTATAAACTGTTATTTTCCATCTGGTGTTAAATGTTAGCAACATCTTAATAGAATTGATTTATATCTACAATGTTATCTACAATCTTCCGAAGTCATTTGCCGCAACTAGCCCAACTTCACCCGTATACTCCGACCTCATGGCTCTGTGTGGAGAACATTTAATAGATGGAGAGAAACGCGAGAGAAAGAGGAGAGGAGGCATGTTTTTGAGGCATGTTCCATACACACCTTCTTTAAACAGACCCATGATCAGAATGAGGGTATAGAAGAAAACGTTATGGTAACATTAGATGAGTAAGCTAGCATTAACCAGGCGGAGGAAAGTAACAGCAGCGCAGCGCGGACAGGATTCATCATGTCAGAGAGACAGACAGAAAAAGGAGAGAGGGAGACAGAGAGAGAGAAAGGCCCTGAAGAACAGAGAGACCGGAGAGGAGAAGAGGTAAAGTGTGTGTGATTTCGGATACTTTTAGGTTTATAATTAAGTATAATCAAGAGGAGAGTAAAAAAATACAGGGAGAGGAGGAGAGAGACACCAAATCATTAATAGGTGTGTGTATTATGAAAGACTCAGATTCATTGAACTGGATTGGAGAGGCATTGTGTGTTATATACCATGCCAATAATATGCTTTATACGTTTGTAAAAGTTATACATTAAAAATACCCTTAAAAAAGAAAAAAAAAAAAATATATATATATATATATTAGTACTGAATTATATATAGTACTAATTCAGTGAACGTGAACAAGGACACTAAATAAAATGAATTTTCACTAGTTATATTAGTATTTTTTTTCAATGCTTTGAAAAATAAGTTAACTCTTTGTATACTATAAATATACTTGTACTATATATTATTTATTTAAATGTGTGGGCAACAAATTCTAGATTCATTTTATTAAAAAATTATCATATTATTCTTATTTTTTTATTTAAATATAGGGGTGCGGCCGGGTAGGGGGCCTTACAAGACAATGTGCCCAGGGGCCCCTGAGTTCTTAATCTGGGCCTGCATGCCTGTGTGTGTTTAATAATGATAATTTTATGTAAAATATATATATAAGTGGCAGTAGGCAGTGCTGTCGCCTTACAGCAAGAAGGTCGCTGGTTCGACCCTTAGCTGGTTCAGTTGGCGTTTCTGTGTGGAGTTTGCATGTTCTCTCTGCGTTCGCATGGGTTTCCCCCACAGTCCTAAAACATGCAGATGCGGTACAGGTGAATTGTTGCAGCTGGAAGGGCATCCGCTGCGTAAAACATGAGCTGGATAAGTTGGCGGTTCATTCCGCTGTGGCAAGCCTGGATTAATAAAGGGACTTATCTGAAAAAATGAATTAATGAATATTGTTGTGTGGGCTATTATTGAGTCACAAGATGGCGCTAAACAGTCAGGAACAGCAGAGGGCAGAAATACTGAAAGATATATGATATTGTGAATATCCGTATATAATTTCAAATCAACAACACTTGTAGTGTGACATAACGTCTCTAACTGCGTCAACACATAAATGGTTTAATCTGATTGGTTATAACATAGATCAACTTGAAACCTGCACATGCGTACAATTGAGAACAAAATCTTGAATAACTTCAGCAACAAGAAAACAAAGGTCAGACAAAACAAGAGGATATTTCTGTGGTCAAGAGGACGAGAGCAGAAATTCAGCTCCAGTCTTCATGTCTCCTTCAGTACCCCACCCACACTTTTGCTCATTTTAATGCATCATTGCTGAGTAATATGCATTTCTTTACAACAACAAACAGAGCAACACACAAGTCAAATACATATTTTTATTATTATTATTGTACCATCACATTTGTTAACAGCAGACTACAGAAGTGTAGTAGTGTACTGTACTGTAGTGTACTGCATTTCTGTAACATGAAATGTCCCTTTGAGTCTCAAGAGAACATGCAAACACAAGACATAAACAGCGATTGCACAAACCATCGTCTTTCACTTTTAACACTGTCAGCGGCTTCTAAGATCACTTTAGGAGAGGCTGTCAGTCTCCCTATGATGCTTCCTGTGATACTGCAGTCAGACTCCCACACTTGACTGTCCTCACTGGCTAATAACAGTCAGAATAATTGCTACAGTAGCAGAGAATACAAAAGGAAATAATGCAGAAGAGCAATTAAGGCACTTGACTTGTTTGGTTTATTCTGTCAAACAGACGTCCCTTCTTTCGAATCTTCAGTGTCCTGTAAACATAGTTACAGACTGGATTAGACATTAACTTATCAGCATTTGATTCCGTCATATTAACATTGACTCAGTATATGACACTATAAGATGGAAGACTAACTGGCCAATAGCTGTGGTTTAGCTCCAATAATCAATTAACCAGTTTTGTGTATCATTCAGAAGTGGTGATGTCATGCACATGTGTATTATCAAAGACTATAGCTGCATCCAACATACTTCCTTACTATATAGTACGTTTGAAACTGTATGCGAGTAGGATGTTCAAATTCATAGTACTGGAAATGATTGAATGAGTGAATTTGATTTTCCTTGACTAAATTCTACATTGTTATATAATAGGGATGTGCTGTGTTTACACGCACACATTAGTGATGTACCTGTTCCTGCAGGCTCTTCTCCTTGTCTTTGTCCAGCAGCTGCTGTGCTTCAGTGTCTGTCAGGCCGAGGTCTGCCATCGACTGCTTCTCCTCCTCTGGTTTCTCCTGACACAAACGCACAAGAAATAAGGGAAATAACATCACCAGAAAGCAGAGTGCATGATTCTGCTGGTTTAAACCTGACATGTTTTATAGGAACCTTCAGCTCTACTGTTGCCCTTCTAAATAAGATCCTTGATACACTTACAAAAGTAAAATTGTAACAACTCACAATTTAAATCAAATTAAAAATATCAAAGCAATTTTCTACATTTTATACAGACACACACTAGGGCTGCACGATACATCGTTTCAGCATCGAAATCGCGATGTGCGCATCCGCGATAGTCACATCGCAGGAGGGTGCGATGCAAAAAAAATATTATATATATATATATAGGCTATATGTATCATGGGTGGAGCAGAACCCGAATTCGGTATTCAGATAAGCACGAATAGCGTGTTTTTACCAATACTTATTTCAAACAAATACTTGAAAAATGATTTGTATTCGGGAACAAGAAAACATTATATCAAAAAGCCGCGTTTCCTCATGAGACCGCAGTGCATGCCCGCATGAGTGAGTGAGTGAGACATTCAGGAGTCGGAGGCGGGGTGGGGCGGGGAAAAAAGATGACTGAAGCATGCTGCTGCTCCACAACAACAACAGAGAAGGCTTGGCAGAGCGAAAAATACTGCATTACTACTTTTGTTACATTTTTTTTTCATCATACTAAAATAACACGTGACAGAAGTTCACTCAAAAGTGAAAGTTCTTTCTGTCATTAATTACTAACACTCCCGTCATTCCTACTACTATCAGAACATAAATTTTGATATTTTACCATATGAAAATGCAATGCAGTTATGAAAATTGTGAAATTAAAGCAATAATGCAGAGATCTGGTCTCGGGGTCAGGTCAGGGTGCACCTGTAACCTGACGCGGAGGCACACAGGAAAGAACTGGGCATTCAATTCATGTTTTAGTTAAATAATTCTTTAAATACAGCTCTCTTGATCTCTAAAGGGGAAAAAATGCAAAAGAAATTTGTCGTTAAATTAATTTTAGCAGAGACGCAACTGCCTGTCATTTTCACATTCGTTTTTCAGTTAGGGATTGCACGTACAAATCCGATTGTGAAGAATGATTAAGCACTTGCATTTTTTATTGCATCCTTTTCGCAAGTTATTTATCTATTTATTATTTTAAAGTGGTGAGAGCATTATTTACTGGCAAACATGTTCCTCGATCTCGAACATCAACAAATAAAGTAGCCTACCTAAATTAATTGACCTTTTATGTAAAAATTAAGGAATAACTTAACTTAATTAAATATTAATAAATAAAACATCCGCTCTGCAAAGCAAGTTGCAAAACAGAATCCATGGAACTGGCAGTGACCGGGAACCAATTGGAAGACTTTGGTCTGTGATGTAGAGGAGAGGGCAGATGGTGAGGAAATTATTATTAATATTACATGTAGCCATGAATTATTGTAAGTGTTACTATTATTGTTTTTTTTTTCACTAGCAGAAGCAAAGACAACAAACAACAAAAGTGATGTGGATGTCTTCGTCTTACGGCATGGTATGTACACTAGACTTCTGTCAGTTTTGATTCTTTAAAAGTTGATGTATAATCCATGTGATACAACTTGCTTCTTATGAATACATTTCAGACACTGTCGGTCTAACAACAAAGAGAAGGGTGTTCAACATCATCCTGCTAGTAAGGAATCTTCAAGGGAAGCAGAGGATTCTTGTGGCAGAGATGGCCAACCACTATAAATACCTTTCAACTCATCCTGGTTCCTTCAGAGAACTGTCCTGCTTGTTTGCTACTGAAAAGTATGTATTCGTATTATTTGGCACAAATATAAACATATGGTTACCCAGTCCAAATGATGTTAATATATTTTAATGTTGTTGTGTTCTTCTTTTAAGATACGACATGTGGCCTAAACAAAGAGGGGTTGAAAGGTCTTTGGATCATCATTCTCAGAAAGCAACAAAATAGCTGAGAAAAAAAACAACAACGATACGAGGGTGCAAGCCAGAGACCTGCAAGGTACCTGTAAGTTTTGACTGGAGCAGAGAACAGACGTTTTTGAAAATAAAGCTCCAACTGATTAGTATGACATTGACTGCGAATTTTCTTTTACTGTAAAGAAAGAAGACGAAGACCTTAACCCTAAATCTAAAGCATGTAATAAAATCTGATTTTCATAATTTATAACCAAATTGTTGTCTCTTTTTTTTAAAATACATAGACATGTACAGTATGTATGCATGCCTCTAAAATCAATCAGTGGTGTAAATTAAGATCATTATTGTATGCCTAACTGCTTACAACATGTATATATATGAGCTACTCTATATGAAAAAATGATAAATTATGAAATAAATACATTTACTGACATTAAGAGCTTTTAAAATATGAATTTTGTGATAAAGAATGTGTACTTCTGGATTTTTCTTAAGGGTACTCCATGACTATATTGTCATCTTGGAATTATAAGGTTGTATCTGCGTTCTGAATGATTTTGAGATATTGAGCTTCAAAGTTTTTGCATTTCATAGCAGATAGTATGTTTGTAACATTTGTTTAATAAAAAAGTCTAAAAATTTAAACAACTTCAACAAAAAACATCTCAAAGTAAGTAAGTTGTCATTTAATAAGAATATGTCGATAACTCAATTTTGTCTTTCTAAATTTGTTTTATCTCCTTTTATTTTTGTCTTTGATTTGAAGCATTTGTATGTATTTGTTAGAATGTCCAACAAAAACTGCTGTACATGTTAGTACAAGATACCAGTACCACTGCTGTTCTGATGAAAATTAAAATAATAATAAATAAAAAACTATTTGTATAATGTTCTATTGAATGCAAGAAATACAAATGATGCCAAAAAAAACATTTTCAAAACTAACAAAAAAAAATATACAGCCAAAAATTATTTTACTTTTAATTTAGATAATCTGTAGGTTTACATTTTTTTAATGGCTATGTTTTTTTAATCTTTTGGAAGTTTGAACTATTCATAGCATTTGTAAAGATATCTTTTCGCCATTGTAACCTCATTTCTTACTATTTTCATGATTTTTACAATGCAGCTATTCTTACAAATCATTTGATTAATAAAGAAAATAATTAGCAAATTAACCCATGATGAAAACAATAATTAAATGCAGTGTCTACAAAATTATCCAGATTGAGTTTCACCACAAGACACAATAACTTGCATGGTGTGATACTAATTTGAATAAATATGGTATAATAAAGGGGAAATTTTTTTTGGAATATTTAGTTTTATTTACCATTTTTATAAGATTTTTAACAAACACAGTACAATACAAATAATAATGCAAAAATAATAATAAACACAATACAAAATAATTGACATAAGCCCCATCCCACCCCCTCAAAAAAAAAAAAAAAAAAGGAGGAATCGTCTCAGTTATCAAATGTACATAAATATACACATGACATATGTAGCATAAACAAATTTTTAAAAAGATGACAGTATTCACATTTCTACAAAGTCAGTGTCATGAATATATGAGTTAGAGATGAAAATTTCCAAAGGTAAAATGCTAGATTCCCAAGAGTCTTAAAATAGGTCCCCTTGTGGTTTCAGCTTTTTTCTGTGAAGTTTCAAGACGTAGTCGCTCCATTTGAATGACATAAAGCAGCTCATTCAACCATCTCTTAAAACAGGGAGCCTTTGGAGACTTCCAATTAAGTAAGATCATCTTTTTAGCTGTGATCATGCCAACCATCAGGGCTTGCTGTTGGGTTGAAGGAAAAGTGTCCATTATGTTTGTATATCCAAAAATAGCCAAATTGTAGTCAGGTTGGATAGTGGTTCCATAAGCACTGGAAAACAACTCAAAGATGCTGGACCAAAACTCATAAAGAACAGGACAAAACCAAAATAAATGTGCCAAAGTCCCCTCTGCTCTACCACATCTGTCACATTTAGGAGATACAGAGGGAAAGATTTTACTTAATCTAGTTTTAGAGAAATGAAGGCGATGTAAAACTTTAAATTGAATCAATTTATGTCTCGAATTTATTGAAGCTTTTTTTATTCTTGACAGGGCTTCTTCCCAGATCTCATCAGCCACTTCTTCATTTAAATCCATGGCCCAAGCTATCTTCATGTGCTTAGTGCATATTGGAGCCTCAAAAACACGAACAAAGCTTGATATTAGGTGTCTAGTATTAGGGTTTGAGGATAGAAGTTTCTGAATAATATGACTTTCTGGTTTGTTTATAAATTGTGAGATATTTTCCTTTACATAGTTTCTAATTTGCAGATAGCGAAAGAAATGAGACTGCGGGAGAGAAAACTTATCCTTCAGCTGTGTAAAGGATGCAAATTGATTGTCTATGTAAAGATCTCCTATGCGAGATAGCCCTTTTCTTTTCCATGCTGTAAAAGTACTGTCAATCAGGGAGGGTTTAAATGAAGGATTGTGTGAAATCGGCGTATTGACTGAAACCTTAGGTAATTTGTAAAATTTATTTATCTGATTTAAAATCCGTAACGAATTCCTTACCACAAAATTACAGCTTCCTTGTTTTTTAATTAATTTACACTCTGTAAAAGCAATGTTGGGAGAGAGCACAGATATGGCCTCGGCATAAACCCATAATGGGGAAGTCTCATATGTCACATCCTCCAGAACACCCCTTTGCCAGAATGTGAGAGCTCTGGCATTTGCTGCCCAGTAATAGTGCTTGAACATTGGAAGGCCAAGACCTCCGCTATCTGTATTTTTTTGTAAATGGGCTTTGGCTATGCGAGGTATTTTATAGATCCAAATGAATGAGAGAATAATTGAATCAATTTGTTTAAAAAAAAAGACATGGGTAAATATATCTGGAGATTTTGAAAAAGATATAAGAACCTTGGCAGAACAACCATCTTTATCACATTCACCCGGCCAATTAGTGACAATGTGAGCAACTTCCATCTTTCAATGTTAGCTTTGATTCTGTTAATCATATCTAAGAAGTTTAATTTGAATAAGTGTTTGGGGTTCTTTGGAATATTCAGGCCGAGATAAGTAAAATGATTGTTTACTATTTTAAAAGGTAAATTGTTTAAAAAAGTGTCACTTAAATTATTTGTTAAAGGCATAAATTCACTTTTTTCCCAATTAATTGAATAACCTGACAACTTACTGAAACTATCAATATAGTTGAGAATCTTATATAAAAACTGGATCAGAGATGTAAAGTAAAACGTCGTCAGCATATAGACTGATCAAGCTTTCGGCATTGCCAAGAGAAATACCCTGGATATGTGGATTAGTTCTAACTCCTACTGCTAATGGCTCAAGTGCAATGTTAAAAAGAAGAGGGGATAGAGGGTCACCCTGACGTACTCCCCGCTGCAATACGAAGGGGTTAGATCTGATGCCATTTGTCAAAACAGATGAAGATGGACGTAGATAAACTATTTTGATCCAGTTAATAAATTTGTCTCCAAATCCAAACTGCCTTAACGTTTCAAATATATACGGCTATTCAATCTGATCAAAGGCTTTCTGCGCGTCTAATGAGAGAATTGCAGCTGGTTTGTTGGTTAATTTATCTTTTGCATATAAAATATTAAGTAAAAGGCGGACATTACAGAATGAGAACCTTCCTGGAGTAAAGCCTGTCTGATCTGGATGGATAATTGTAGAAATTTGTCGTGCCAGTCTATCAGCTAATATTTTAGTCAACACTTTTTGATCAAAATTTAAAAGGGCAATGGGCCTGCAATTGGCTGGATCTGTCTCAGGTTTCCTTTTTTTCAAAATTACACAGATATTTGCATCATACAATGAATCTGGAAGTGTATTCTTCTTAATTGAGTCTTGCAGCATTCTCAGCATATAGGGGGCTAGTTTCTTGCTAAAGAATTTAAAAAACTCACACCCAAAGCCATCTGGGCCTGGGGCTTTCCCTGAGGGAAAGGCATGAATTGCTTTTAATATATCTTCAATTAATATTTCGGATTCCAGTTCTAGTTTAGAGATCTCACTGAGCTTTGGCATGTCCAATTTTGAGAAAAAGTTGTCGTAATTTGGGTCATTGTGATTAGCTTTAGAAGTGTATAAATCTGAATAAAATTCCCTAAAACAACCATTTATTTCATCAGGATTTGTTATTAAATCACCTGTTTTTGTTTTTACCATATGAATTACTTTGTTGGCTTGTTCTCCTCTTAGTTGTCTTGCAAGTAGTTTTCCAGGTTTGTCTCCCAGCTCGAAGTGTTTCTGTTTAAGTTTGAGAAGTAGGTTACTTATCTGTCTATTTAGGATAGAATTATACTCATTTTTTAATTTTAATATTTTATTATAATCAGAATTGGATAGTGACTTTTTGTATGCTTGTTCATAGTTTGGGAGTATATTTTCAATTTCTAGCAGTCGGCTATTCAAAGCACGCTTTTTAGATGATTCGTATGAAATAATGTGTCCCCGCATTACAGCTTTTAAAGTATCCCATAAGACTGAGTCTGAGACTTTACCATTATCATTAGTTGAGAAATACTCATCCATTTTATCATTTAAGTATGACAAAAAAAGTTGGATCTTGGATTAACATAGGGTTGAGACGCCAGCAATAATTACACTTTGGCAGAATATTTTCAAGTTGGAGCGTGACAGGGCTATGGTCAGATATTATTATGTTATTATATTTGGTTTTGCCAATGTTAGAAATCAGTTCAGATGCTACAAGAAAGTAATCGATTCGAGAATATGATTTATGCACGTGTGAGTAAAACGAGTAGTCTCTACCCGTAAAGGAGAAATTTTTATTTTAGACTTCAGTCCTTGGCTGAAGAAAGATGACAAAGGCCACGTTTGTCAGTAAACAGTACATGTTTGAAAACATATATAGTTCAGCATTTCCTGTAAATGAACCCTGCATCCTGTAGGTATACAAATATAAATATGTCAAACTTCAAGGACAAATATAGTGCCCATTAAATAGTAAAAATAGTAGTGTGTTGTAAATGAGTATGCAAATAAACACAATACATTTTTAGTGAAACATTTATAAATTATTTATAATACCACAAAAAGAAATCACACAAACATGCAAACACCAAAAATATATATTTTATAACAGTTTTTATTGGAATATTTTATTACCAAACATATAAAAGCGGTTAAAAACTTTCATAATTGAAGGAAATGTATATATTTTGTATTATTATTATTATATTTTGTGATATTTATTCATGTCATACATCTGGTATGTCAAGCTCAAGTAAAACTGCACTGCAAAACATCTTTTCAAATGATGCCTTTATAAATGCCATTATAATAAACTTTCACAACAACAACAAGAGTTCATGACAATTGCAAAAATGTTTATAATGACAACTTTCTGAACTCAAACAGCAAAAGTACCAAAAAGCTATGACACTTTTCAAAAACATATTCAAGTACCTACCGAAGATGAGCAAAAAAAAAAGTTTTACAAAACACTGAGAACCAAAGTGTGCTTGGCGAGTCCAGGTGTTTATGGTGACTAGACTCTCATATTGCAAACCGGTTGGCATGAGGAGACTTGGGTGTAAAGTGTCAGGAATTCCAGGAAGGCTCCCATGTGTTATCCCAGGTTTTGCCACTGTAAAGTATCAGAAGTGCACAATATCATTAAAAAACAAAGAATCAGGATGATTGTTAGGTTTCATTTAGAAAGTTCAGTGATATTTATTTATAACTGTAAAGTGTCATTAAACTTGGCACTCTTGAATTAACTGCTTGAATAAGTTCAACATTTGCAGCATGTTTTCACATATTCCAAGCAGATCTGACAGTTCAACAGACTCAGATATGAGGACAGTAACTGCACTGATCACTTCTTGCTATTTAAAACACACTTTTGACTCATCAATTATATTAAAACTACCAACAGCATACAGTGCTCCACCCTAATAATATTGCTAAATTGTGACAAGTTTATTGCTTTACATGGCTAAACATTTATTTTATGCCTGCATGATTCACTGCTATTACTGTAACACATTACACTCTTAACCCAAACTAGTTGACTTTATTAGAAAACTGCATAGAAACCTGTTGCCTTAAACCCTTTATGTTTTTACACAAGGTGAAACTAAACAGCCCTACTTGAATTAACTTACAACCTTTACAATCTTATTGGACTTACAGTAATACTTAATTCAAGTATGGCTGTTAAGTTTTATCTAGTATATAATGTAAGGGGTTTAAGGTTTCTATACAAGGTTTCTAAGGCACTGGGTTTCTATACAATTTTCTAGTAAAGTCCACTAGATTGGGTTAAAGGAATAGTTCACTATTTACTCTCCCTCAAGTGGTTGTACACCTTTTTTTTTTTTTTATAAAACTTGCAAGTTTCTTTGTGTTGAACATGAATGAAGTTTTTTAAAGAAAGCTGAAAGCCTGAAATTATTGACATACATAGTAGAAAAAAAACAAACACTATGGAAGTTAATGTTTACAGGTTTTCATCTTTCTTTAAAATATATTTTTTGTATTCAACTAAAGAAAGCAACTCAGACATATTTGGACAAGTGAATGTCATTAAGTCATTAATGACAGAGTTTTCATTTCATTTTTGGGTGAATTATCTCTTTAAGAGTATACTGAAAGAAATGTCCTACTCAATGTAGCTAACTTCAGCTACGTGTGTAGCCCCTTGAGTACTTAATTAGAAATCAAAACAATGATCACATCGGTCCCATTTTATCCCCTATATATCATATTGGCCACAGAATGGACTACTTGGTGTTGCAATGAAATTTAAAAATTTATAAAACTATGACTTACCACACAATACAAGACAAACAGTGAATTTTCAACTCTGCCATTTCTTTACACAGGATGAGGTTCCAGCTTCAAAATGGCACCATAACACTGATCCTGAGTTGTGCTGCTTTGTTAGGTTGTGACTGTTCAGATGCAGTGCTGTGAAGAGTTCTTTATTAAGGAAAGTACATCTTTTCAAATCTGTACATAGTAACAAAGAAAACACAATGATTTTGTATAATGAACAATTCTGAACAAAAACCTTACCCTTAGTCAAGATGAATTCGTATGGCCTCTGCATTCTTTTGCTACAAATGTGGAAGACAGATGAGTTGTTTTGTCTGCAACCCACTTATTTGCAAATTTTCTACTGTTTTTCAAAAATGCATTGGACTACATTAAGCAATTGTAATGTCATTTAAGTGTAATCCAAAATGAGCCTTAAGCTGTTTAAGATTATGATTTAAAAAGCATTTCTTGCATAAAAAAAAAATCTGCCTTTTGTAATACATACTGTATGATCAATGGTAAATTTCTGAGAAGGTGCAAGGTAATCCTTGAGTTTTACCATTAACATCATGACTGACATAATATTTGACAGAAAAGACAGCTTGTTGTGTCTCTTTAGCACAATTTAGAAATGATAGATTCTTTCTTTTATTACATAAATTGGTAAAGGCCAAATTATACTGGTAATAGTGTATGATATGCATTGTGTGAAATACACCAGCTTATGTTATGCTTGAGTTTATGTTATGCTTGAGCTTATATTATACTTTGAATTATGAAAATTCAATAATTCCTTATAATAATTACTTTTCCTCAATTTCTGTTTAACGGAGAGAAGATTTTTTTTTCCCAACACATTTCTAATCATAATAGTTTTAATAACTCATTTCTAATCACTGATTTATTTTATCTTTGCCATGATGAAAATAAATAATATTTGACTAGATATTTTTCAAGACACTTCTATACAACTTAAAGTGACATTTAATGGCTTAACTAGGTTAATTAGATTAACTAGGCAGTTTATGGTAATTAGGCAAGTTATTGTATAATAATAGTTTGTTATGTAGACTATCGAAAAGAAATAGCTAAAAGAGGATAATAATTTTGACCTTGACCTCTTAAGGTCCAAGGTGTTTTTTTTTTTCATGCATTTTTTTATTTATCTTTGCTATTTGGGATTATTGGACCCTAATTAGAATAAAAACACAAGTACATTTACATAAAACACAATAAAGTCACCTTTGTGTAATAGAATGAAAAACTCCTTATTTCTGTCTTGAACACAGCAGTTTTTTCTTGCCTTTTTAATGCATTAATAACACATACACACATATTTTTAAACATGCTTTGACTATCAATAAAATATTTTTGCCCATTTTGGACAGTTAAAATAGTGTATGGGACATTTCATATGCTGCAAAACAGTTGCAGAATGATACTGTATGTCTGAAATAAAATATAAAAAATAAGACACAAGACAAAACAGCTAAAATGTGCTGTCCATGTATGGGGCCACTAAGCTCTAGGAGGATTTTATTGTAGCCAAAATAACATATATAAGACTTTCTCCAAAAGAAAAATATTATCAGACCTACTGTTATGTTCTGATATGTTATCAGACATATCCTTGCTCTGTTAAACATCATTTGGGAAATAAAAAAATAAAAAAAGAAAACAAATTTAAAGGGGGACATTATATATAATATGTGTGTGTGTCTGTTTTAAGGGATGTAAAATAATTGCAGTTACAATGTAGCCTTTAAACCTTTGAGAAACACTTGATTTGCTTTAATAGAGATGCAGTTATGAATCCAATTGTATGATTAGAGGTAACATTTCTTGCATATTGCATAATTTATTTATTATTATTATTAAACAACAATCTGGTAACACTGTTCCTCATCTTTAAATGTACAATATTGTTCTGAGCTATATGAGGGGAAAATATATGTTTTAATAAATGAACTTGCATGTAATTAGATAACGTCGCTAGTTTACAGTACATGCTTTATTTATATCTAGTCTGTAGTCATTTACTGCATCAGGAGATGGCTACCTTACTTTTATAAAGGTTCTAAACAAACCTCTAATCTAAATCTAAATCTCTAACCTCTTTTACTTACCGAGTGGAAAAAATATTTTTTAAACTTAGTACTTTAAATGTAGTATTTTTTAAAGTAATAAATAAATAAATTAATCAGTTTTAATAGGCATGTCATGATTACCATAAACTGGGAAATCGAAAATAATTTCACTCATTAAATATAAAGTAATTGATAACATATTTATCAACACCAACTAATCTCCAATAAAAATAATTTAAAAATACATTATGCAGCATTAACCTACAACGATGAACTGCACCGTTGAACTCATCAGTAAACTCACCGGTGTTGCATTTTGACCAATAGCTGAGCAATGTTAAACTCACCGTGAAATAAAAGTTACGTTGACCGAGGTATATTCTCGTTTACAGTGGTCTCGACATTTTTTACAGACGCTTATCATGAACAAAACAAACATCACATATTTCTAAAACAAAAAACTGCGATAATAGGCGTAAACCAGGTTTAAAATATTGCGTTGGCGTCTATTAGTTATCATACAGCGTCTGCTATCCTATGGAAAAAAATGAAATAAAATAAAAATGAATAAAAAATACTGCGTCTGGTACCCTGTGTCAATAACAACAACAACAATAATAATAACAATAATAATAATAATCACAATGCGGCGTCTGGTACGCTGTGTCATTAATAATATTAATCAAAATACTATATTAATAATATTTTTAATAATAATATTTAATAAAAATATTTTTAAAAAGCGTACATCGGGTACACTATGGCAAAATAAATCGTGCTAGAGGCACGGAAATGATTTCCTATTGAAATACATTGGATGGAAATTCGTGCAGGGTGACACGAAAAAAGAGGGAAATTCGTGCCCATGAAGACGAATCAATAGATTAAATTTCGTGACTATTTCACGAACTGCAGTGAGACTGGGTTGCATCAGAACAAAAAAAAAAAAACAAATAAAGTGAGCAAACAGCCTCAAAAACACAGACGTGACAGGAATATATATTGAATATAAATATATTATATTCATTATTTGATAAATATATAATATTCAATTACATAAAACAATTAAAAGGACAAATGCTGGACCTTTTGGCAACACTTTTTCAGTTTAGGTCACAATTCACAGTATTAACAAACAATTAAACTAACACTGCTAGCATAATAAACTAACTAGCTGTTTGTTAATAATTAGTAAGGTACAAATTGGGTTTACGTTTAGGTTAGGGCTAGGCATGCCCCCACCCCGGCTACGGGCATGATGTAGTGGAGTAGCAAGTAACATGCTATTAGGTGATGTGACCGCTAGATGGCGATCTTGGATAATAAGAAGCTTACCACCACTAGGAGTTTGTCAGAGTCATTGGTCTTTAATTATAATCATCTGTCTCCCTATTCTACTGCATCCCAGAATAACACACGGCACCAAAAAAAAATGTAAAAATATAGATTCAGTATATTTAATATGTTTTTGTCCGCAACTCGCCGTCACGCCGTGACGGAGATTCCCGAGCCTGTTTGGTCCAATGGGAGGCGTGCTCTCCTCAGCGCTCACCATGATGACAACGAGACTCCCAGCAGTGACGTCGCCATGTAAACATTTGCATATGCATTCCTATAAAGCACGGCGGTTCTCGCTCGGTGTTGTCAGTTCTCTCGGGGCTGCTCTTAGAAATTGACCAAGGTAAGTTCAAAATAAACTTCTCTTTCTAAACACCTGTCTCGTGTTTTTATTTGTCATGTACAGCAATACACTGTCATACAGGTCTGTTGAATGCATTTGTACGCAACGTGGTTTGACAATAAAGTAGCCTAACAAGTAAATAGTTGTTAAAAATGTACCTTCATTAGTCAACATTTGGGGAAGGTAGTAAAAAGTTAATCAAAGATGTCCTAAGACATAATGGTAATGTTATGGTTGTTACATGACTGTATTTATTATTATGTATGTATGTTTAAAACCAGCAGAATATACTATATATTTAACATGTCAAGAACTTACTGTTCTTCAAAAAATTGCTCAATAAAAATTTCCTTAAGACAAGAATGGGTATTGTTTTGGTCTTTTTTTTTCTTTTTTTTGTGTCAAACTACTGTAGGTTTTAAGTTACTACAGCAGATATAGGCTACCTATATCATTATATTGTTAGTCAGAGTTATTTTAATGACCCAAATCGAGTAAAATGTCTCCTACTCAAGTACTTTTTGGATGCAAAAGTCAAATTTACAGTTTTCAACAACAAAATTTTGTCTCGTAAAAATGACCAGTGGGGTGTGAGAAAAAAGTTAATGTTGAGATATATATTATATATAAAAGAAGTTGATCAAGTTGTCATAATATTTAGTCATAATGCATTTTTCTGTACATTTCCATTAGACGTTTTTTTCTAAATCTATAGTTGGTAAATTGCTCCCAGGTCAATCTGGACTTTGTCTAATGAAGGTGAGGTGTATCTGAAAGGAGATTGTCCTATGTTCACATTTCTACTTTTGTTTTGGGTTTGTTTTTTGTTTTCTTTGTCCTATGAAGTGCTGTCTTTTCCTTTCTGTATCACAATGACATGATCTGGCAACGAATCACAGTACAAGCCGCAAAAAAATGAAATAAATTAGCCGTACCTTACATGAGGACGTCCATCCAATGTCTGCAAAGACAAAAGTGTGTTTTTTTTTTTTCACGTATCACTTTATAAAAATAGTAGCGTATACATAATTCGTTTTATATTTTTGGCTTAATATTTAATACTCGTTTTGATGTAACCATGTCTATAGTGGAATGGAACATCACAACCGTGGTTTCTGCAGGTGTCAGTCACTATTTCAAATGTATGACTTTTTAAGTCTTTTCTTAAAACCATTGTGACCCCGACATTTCTCAGAGGTGGCTATAAATATACAAATGTTGCACACATAACAATAGGCCTATATAAACATGAGCATATTGCCAACACAAAAAGTGCAACAGTCTTAACAGTCATGGGCTATATAGTTTGTATAATCATTTATTCATTTCTTTAATTTAATATTATTAACCTAACCTCAAGGAGACTGGTGGACAGCATGTGTTCAGGACAAGTCCATTGGTTTAATTTTGGAGATCATCCTCAATGGTCAGTTGTGGCCTGTGTTCATTTTCAATTTGATTACCATAAAGGGGTCAGAAAGTTTAACCTGGTGCTATAAGTTCAGTCTGTGCTGTTGATCTAACGTACAATCTAATCTAATACACAACTCTATGACAAAAATTAAGGGCCGATGGCTCTTTATTTGCATGCGA